TACCATTGAGTTAAAAGATGTCACATCTGCTCTTTTACTCAATGAGAAGATGAGAAAGAAGCCTGAAAATCAAGGACATGCTCTCATCACAGAAGGTAGAGGCAGGAGTTATCAAAGGAGTTCGAGCAACTATGGTAGATCCGGAGCTCGTGAGAAGTCTAAGAACCGATCCAAATTAAGAGCTAGGAATTGCTACAATTGTGATCAACCAGGTCACTTCAAAAGAGATTGCCCAAATCCGAGGAAGGGCAAAGGTGAAACTAGTGGCCAGAAGAATGACGATAACACAGCCGCCATGGTGCAAAACAATGATAATGTTGTCCTCTGTATAAACGAGGAAGAGGAATGCATGCACTTATCAGGTCCAGAGTCGGAATGGGTGATTGATACAGCAGCATCTTACCATGCCACACCGGTAAGAGATCTTTTTTGCAGATATATAGCAGGTGATTTCGGCCTTGTGAGAATGGGTAACACAAGTTACTCAAAGATTGCGGGTATTGGTGATATTTTTATCAAGACAAATGTCGAATGCACATTGGTTCTGAAGGACGTGCGACATGTACCTGATTTGCGGATGAACTTGATCTCGGAAATTGCTTTAGACCGAGATGGATACGAGAACTATTTTGCAAATCAAAAGTAGAGACTCACCAAAGGATCATTGGTGATTGCAAAGGGAGTTGCTCATGGCACATTTTACAGGAGAAATGAAATATGCCAAGGTGAATTGAACGCGGCACAAGATGAGATTTCTGCAGATTTGTGGCACAAAAAAATGGGTCATATGAGCAAGAAGGGATTGCAGATTCTTGTCAAGAAAGCACTAATTTCTTATGCCAAAAGTACAACGGTAAAACCCTGTGACTACTATTTATTTGGTAAGCAGCATAGAGTCTCATTTCATACATCGTCTGAAAGAAAATTGAATATACTTGATTTGGTATATTCTGATGTTTGTAGTCCAATGGAAATTGAATCGATGGGCGGTAACAAATATTTTATTACTTTTATTGATGATGCTTCACGAAAATTATGGGTTTAGATTTTGAAAACCAAATATCAAGTATTTCAAGTTTTCCAGAAGTTTCATGCTATGGTGGAAAGGGAGACAGGCCAAAAGCTAAAGCGTCTCCGAAATGACAATGAAGGTAAGTACACTTCATGGTAGTTTGAAGAGTACTGTTCAAACCATGGGATCAGACATGAAAAGACAGTTCCTGGAACCCCACAACACAATGGCGTAGCCGAAAGGATGAACCGCACCATTGTGGAGAAGGTGAGAAGCATGCTCAGAATGGCTAAACTGCCTAAGTCATTCTGGGGTGAAGCAGTTCAGATAGCCTGTTACCTGATCAATAGGAGTCCATCAGTTCCGTTGGCATTTGATATCCCAGAGAGAGTTTAGACCAACAAGGAGGTGTCCTAATCACATGTAAAGGTGTTCGGTTGTAGAGCTTTTGCACATGTACCAAAGGAGCAGAGAACAAAGCTTAATGATAAATATGTTCCTTGCATATTCATCGGATATGGAGATGAAGAATTCGAATACAGATTGTGAGATCCTGTAAAGAAGAAGGTTATCAGAAGCAGAGATGTAGTCTTCCGAGAAAGTGAAGTTAGAACTGCTGATGATATGCCAGAGAAGGCCAAGAATGGTATAATTCCTAACCTTGTTACTATTCCTTATACTTCTAACAATCCCACAAATACAGAAAGTACGACCGACGAGGTTGCCGAGCAGGGGGAGCAACCTCGTGAGATTATTGAGTAGGGGGAGCAACTTGATGATGACGTCGAGCAAGTGGATCACCCCATTCAGGGAGAAGAACAACCTCAACCTCTGAGGAGATCAGAAAGGCCAAGGGTAGAGTCATGCAGGTACCTTCCACGGAGTATGTCCTCATCAGTGATAAGGGGGAGCCACAAAGTCTTAAGGAGGTGATGTCCCATCCAGAAAAGAACCAGTTGATGAAAGCCATGCAAGAGGAGATGGAATCTTTGCAGAAAAATAGCACGTACAAGCTGGTTGAACTTCCAAAGGGTAAAAGACCACTCAAATGTAAGTGAGTCTTTAAACTCAAGAAAGATGGAAATGACAAGCTGGTCAGATACAAAGCTCGATTGGTGGTAAAAGGCTTCGAGCAGAAGAAAGGTATTGATTTTGATGAAATTTTCTCACATGTTGTCAAAATGACTTATATTCGAACAATCTTGAGCTTAGCAGCTAGCCTAGATCTTGAAGTTGAGCAGTTGGACGTGAAAACTGCATTTCTTCACGGAGATTTGGAAGAGGAGATATATATGGAGCAACCAGAAGGATTTGAAGTAGCTGAAAGAAAACACATGGTGTGCAAATTGAATAAGAGTCTTTATGCGTTAAAGCAGGCACCAAGGCAGTGGTACAAGAAGTTTGACTCATTCATGAAAAGTCAAACTTACACAAAGACATATTCTGATCCATGTGTATACTTCAAAAGATTTTCTAAAAATAACTTTATTATATTGTTGTTGTATGTAGATGACATGTTAATTGTAGGAAAAGACAAGGGGTTGATCGCAAAGTTGAAGGGAGATTTGTCCAAGTCATTTGATATAAAGGACTTGGGCCCAGCACAATAAATTTTGGGTATGAAGATAGTTCGAAAGCGAACAAGCAGAAAGTTGTGGTTGTCTCAGGAGAAGTACATTGAACATGTACTAGAACGCTTCGACATAAAGAATGCTAAGCCAGTCAGCACACCTCTTGCTAGTCATCTAAAGTTGAGCAAGAATATGTGTCCTACAAGTGTGGAGGAGAAAGGGAACATGGCTAGAGTTCCTTATTCTTCAGCAGTCAGAAGCTTGATGTATGCAATGGTATGTACCAAACCTGATATTGCTCATGCAGCTGGTGTTGTTAGCAGATTCCTTGAAAATCCTGGAAAGGAACATTGGAAAGCAGTCAAGTGGATACTCAGGTACCTGAGAGGTAGCACGGGAGATTGTTTGTGCTTTGGAGGATCTCATCCAATCTTGAAGGGTTATACAAATGCTGATATGGAAGGTGACATTGATAACAGAAAATTCACTACTGGATATTTGTTTACATTTTCAGGGGGAGCTATATCATGGCAGTCTAAATTGCGGAAGTGTGTTGCACTTTCAACAACTGAAGCAGAGTACATTGCCGCTACAGAAGCTGGCACGGAGATGGTATGGCTCAAGCGGTTTCTTCAAGAGCTGGAATTGCATCAAAAGGAGTATGTCGTCTATTGTGACAGTCAAAGTGCAATATACCTGAGCAAGAACTCCATGTACCATGCAAGAACAAAGCATATAGATGTGAGATATCATTGGATTCGTGAGCATGTGGAGAACGAATCTTTACAGGTCAAAAAGATTCACACGAGTGAAAATCCTGCTGATATGATGATCAAGGTGGTGCCAGGAGACAAGTTCGAGCTATGCAAAGAACTTGTCGGCATGCACTCAAGCTAAAAGTCCGGTGCTACCTCCTTCAGGTGAATGAGTCTGGAGGGGGAGATTTGTGGGGTCCAGTACCATAATCAAACAAAGAAAAAGGGGGATTGTGGGGTGGATCCCCATAATGAAGAAAGAAGAAAAAGGTTGTGGGGTCCATCCCCATAATGAAGAAGAAAAATCTGCAAGATGCCAAATTAGTAGTTGGCACCGAAACGCGTTTTTTGACCAAAATTATTTTTTGGTTACGACACTTATTCATATAAATAGAAGCCTTCAGATTCTCATTTTACACACCAATCTCAGAGGAAAAATATATTTGAGAATTAGAAAGAAAGAGTGAGGTTTCACAGACAGGGTATAAGAAAATAGTCTGTGAGAAAAATAGAGAGTGAGCGATATTGTAGTGAGGTAGGAATATCAAAAGAGGGTTATTTCTTTTGAGTGTTGTAGTGGTCTTTGGAGTATTTTTACTCGGACCTACAAAGTGTAAAATTCCTTGCTATAGTGATATCAGTTGCTCGTCTCGGGGCAGTTTTTTTTTCCCTTATTCTAAAGGGTTTGCCACGTAAAATTTTTGGTGTCGTAGTCACTCTTTTATTCTTGTTAATTACCGTATCTCAGTGCTAAGTTATTATTCCGCTTTTATTACTGTGAATATTATTTCTGTAGGGGGTTTATTCCCAACAAGAATTAGTAAGAAGTTTGTTGACTAGGCAATTAATTTCTTTTTCCACTACGTACTGAAAGCTAATTAAAGACGTGTTAAAGTGAAATATATATAAAACACGTACGCCAAAAGTACTTGTCACTTATTAGTAGTATTGCTCCTAATTACAGGCTACTATATATAGAAGTTAACACTTAACAGTTAGGTGAACTTTAATAGACTAAGAAATTAATCACCCGACCCAATCCATGATTACTGGCAGCTTGAATATTATCTTCAGGAAGGAAGGGGCAATTCCAGACAATTTTAGCTATGTTAGTTTTTCATGCATTTGCGGTAATAATTTTATGGTTACAGCTCTGAAGATGCAATTTATTTGGTGACGGGATCATAATTTTTTGTAACGGTATTTTTTAAACAGATCAAGATTGAAGCCTATTGTAACTTCAACTTAGAACTTTTGCCAAATGCTAACATCACGCGGAGTCACGGAGATATATACACACATATAACCGGATAATTACTTATTGATGTNATATATATATATAACCCAATGATGCTTAAGTGAAAAATATGTGTGTAAAAGATATGTCTTGCATTTATTAGTTAGATGTAAAATATGTGAAAAATATAAATTGCATTTATAAGTGAAAAATATGTGTATGAAAGAATTACATATATTTCTGCGTACCATTTCGAAGGACAAAATATATATCCTACAATCAAGTCAATGTGTGATACTTCCATTTGAACTTATTTTTGTTAATCAAACAATTAATATGAAACTAGTTTAGTATTAAACACTTAATGAAATACAATTATCGAAAGAGAAGGTTAGGAAGAAATATTTCTCCAAAAGGTTACAGCATTCAACAAACGCACTCATAAATTTGAAAGCAACTTTGGCAATATCTACTGTCTACATGAAGTTCACACCAACTACCTACTCAACTCAAAACTAACAGATTGTAAGGATAATAACTTAAATGGTAAGTTGATTGTTAAAAAGAAACAGAGTCTAAGAAGAAAGTAGAAATGCATAAATAGATGACCATTTTAAGCATTACACTGCCATTAAGGAAACTGGGATTAAACTTCTTTGATACCAACAGCTGCTCCTGCTCCAAAAAGGCTCAGTTTTTAACCCAAAAAGGAAAGAAAGGCAGAGCACAATACTTTCACAAATCTATCAAAGTCCAAGCTGCCTATGTAAACATGATGATTTTCCAAACAAGAAAGAAAAATGGGGAAACAAAGTTCTGAGAGAAGATGTTTCTTAATCTCTCTATTGCGGCTGTGCATGAGATGACTTATATTCCAGCATCTCAGCCTTGTATCTCGCCTTATCTCTCACACCTTTTTCCTGATAAACCTGCATTACGAGCAACACATATTGAAGTTGAGTATCAGCTGAGAATTGATCCCCATTTTCCTCTTCAGCATCAAATGTATTTACTGCGATATTTTAATAACTCCAAAAGTTGTCTCTGTCATACTGCGGACATATCTAAGAATGTCATTTTGCTAATTTTGAGTCTACAGCAGAATTTGCAACCAAAGACAACCTTAAATTAAACCAGACACCCTCTCGCCCCAAGGAACAATCAGCTGATGACTTATGAAGCAACCACCCTGGTTAAGGTCTTTTTACTGAAAAGAGGCAACTTTTGACATTTGGAATCATAAAATGCACACAATTATTCAGTGACAAAGGTGGTTAAATACAACATAAAAGCAACTATGCCTTCAAAAAACAATCAACTATGATTCTGCTTAAAAGTCACACAGAGAACAAGCAAATAAAGAATAGGATATTTACACAGTTACTGTATAATAGACAGTAGCAACATGTAAATTATCTCCAGGTACAAAATTAAATCCTCATTTCCCTATTATTTTTATCCGCAAAAAAGGAAAAAAGGTTTACTAAAACGATTCCAGCCTTCAGATGCAGTTTGTACACATAAAAGTAAGCAATAAACAAAAAAAGTGAAAGTTTAATATGTCAAGCCATTTTATCCAACCTGTTTCTCGGCCTCTGTAAGTCGACTCCAAAGAAGTCCAATCCTTTTGCTGATAGCTCTCTCTTGCCCCTGATATGAAGGTTTCAGCCTGGCATAATGCTCAGCAAAGAAAAAATTATAACCACTTCGATTTGACTTGGGTCGAGAGGGGTCCTTCAAAGCCAACTTGCGTCTTTTCCTGATCCGTTGGGAAGGCTTAGCTGAAGTATTAACCCTTTGGGACTGATGTGGCAATGCAGGTGTATGATAAAGTACACCACTTAAATTCTCCGAGCCCAGGTTCACAGTGATTACGTAACCATAATCAAACTTTGCATCAATGGTTCCAATCAGTGAACTTCCAGCCTCCAGATTATAACTCACTACAGTTACAAGAACCATAAAGTTGTATAACGATGACACAAGCTAAGTATGTCTATCCACTATAAAACAGGACATTACAAAATACAAAGGAGCTAAAAGGGAAAACATATGAAAGCCAAGTTGCAGGAGAGAAAAGAAATCTCCGTACAAGGAATATCAAGTTTCAATACTTCTTTGTTGTAGCTCTCTTAAAATTTCAAACAAATAAAAGGTAAGACATTCTCTAACATGTTATACCAAACTAATGGGGCATAAAGAAACATACACCGGAGGAAGGATCTCATGATAGAAAATTAAAGTCTTAAAAGATTGGAAGCACACCTGAACATTGATTCGTAGCAGCACTATCATTGTTAGCATGTTCAGCGGCAGAGTCAGTTACATTTCTATTTGCAAGATCTGCAGAACATATAGAAGAAGTGTCCCCAGTTTTTATTTTTATAACAAAAACTTTAAAACAACAAATACAGGTAATTGATTGCAAAAGTGTCATGATACCAGCCACAGAGACAGAAGGTTCTTCTTTCCGAAAGTAATAAACCTGCTCGAAATGATAAAGCATGGATAGATAGTACTTCCGCAAGACAAATGATGCACTGGTCACAGAAGATGGAAATCTGAATATTCCTTTCACCTCCCCCCATTTTCGCTCTCTAATAACCTGCAGCAAGTTCCCAATATAAAACCCGAGTGAACTCCAAATCACATTAGACCAACCATGTTGAAGGCGGACAAATTATTTTAGTCCTGATAAAGAAAAAAAGTAGGTTGGAGAATGTCAAAGCAGCAATAATTTCACTGAATTAGGTTTGAGAATATCAAAGAAGAAAGGACTTTAGAAAAGTGTCAATTTTATTAATTTTTGTTCAGGCAGTTTGCAAATACACAGTTTTATTTCTAAGAGAGAAGGGGTTGTTTGGTTTAAGGAATAAGGATATTTATTCCCAGTACAAAATTCAGTATTACTTATATAGCGTTTGGTTTTCAATATTAAACTTTTCATTACTAATATAATCTCCATATAACTGATGGAGCATTTGGTCTCCGATATTAAGCTCCACATAAGTACTAAACTCTCCATAAGTTATGCGGCGCTTAATATCAGAAACACTGTACCGATCAACGAAAAGAATATCAGAGAACAATGTATCATTAATACTGGTATAACTTATGCAGAATCCATGTATTATTTTATACGAGATAGAATGTAGAGTAAGAATACATGTATTAGCAATACATCAACAAGAGTATTTAAATATAAAAATGCCCAGAAAGTAGGCAATCAAACATAACAATCCTCATTTTATTATTCGCGGTTCTATTTCACATATTGTTTTCACTGCCGCATAACAATTCTTACATGATTATTCACCACATAAACAATTCCTACATTATAATCCCTACATAACTAAGCCTCAAACCAGACGACCCCAAAGCGTATATTCTAGATTTTGGCACCGCTGAGAAAGACAAAGTAATTTGATTCTGCAAGTGACCCTTTGAATCCTACCCTCTCAGATATGCATCAATGTCCTTTTCTTTCTTTTTTTTTTTGATAAAGTAGATATGCATCAATGTCCTTGTAATTGAAAGTTAAGTTGCCTCAAACGCCAAGAGGTTGCTGAAGTGGTGATGAGTATGACCTTGATGGATAGGTGCCTAATTTATGAATTTCAAGGTGCAATATCCATTGAGTGAAACTCCTTGGAACCGGCTCTACAACCAAGGATGAGTTACCCTTTTTATATGAATAGCCACCCTCATGTTTGAGCCTAGTCCAAAGTTGTGTTTTGTATATACTAGTCTATTATTAGTTGACGATGAATGGGGACAGATTTTGAAGAAATAGCAATCCCTGAGGATCCTCATGATGGAAGGTCGCATCTCTTTTTTGTTTTCTCATCTTTTCTCCCCTTTATCCTCACTCTAATGCTACAACAAACAGCTGCTATATATATAAGGTATCACCCAAATTCCCACTATTTATCCTTAGAAATCTCCGACCTCAGTAGTTATAGCAGTTACCAGGTCACACATGTGCATGCAAGACTAAGCATATCTATAATACATTAAAAGCACGAAAACCCTTAGCAAAATGTCGTTCGTCTTTTTTACCCCTTTAAAATAGAGTTCACACTAGACAAAATAGTCATTTAATTATCTTCCTATATATAGTATTAATCATTCAATTTATGTTCCTAATATTTAGAAATACTCATTTAATTACTTTCCTATTTAGGACCTTGATTTAGAAAAGTGAAAAACACATTCCTAAAATTCCTACCATAACTAAATGAGAAACGTACGTTTTAGAGAAGGAACTAAAATGTCTTCAATTCCTAAAATCTTAAGTTAATTAAAAGAAAATATATATTTCAAGAAGGAATCAAACTATTTTAAATTCTAATTTTTCCTATACATAAATAGAAAAGGACAATACAATAAAAGGAAACTCTTAACTACTTTTGTTA